GGATGGTGGAGTTTTGTTTCATCCGCTTTTGTTTCGTCCGCTTTTGTTTCGTCCGCTTTTGTTTCACCCGCTTTTGTTTCATTCGCTTTTGTTTCACCCGCTTTTGTTTCATCCGTCCTTTGTTTCATCCGCTTTTGTTTCATCCGCTTTTGTTTCGTCCGCTTTTGTTTCGTCCGCTTTTGTTTCATCCGCTTTTGTTTCGTCCGCTTTTGTCTCGTCCGCTCTGTCTCGCGTGATTCGTGTGGAAGATGGGAGGATGAAAACCGGATGAATTTAAACCGGATGACTTAGAACCGGATGAATGTAAACCGGATGATTGTAATCTGGATGAATTTCAACCGGGTGAATTACAACCGGATGAATTTAAACGGGCAATTTTAAATTGGATGCATTTAAACCGGACGAATAAAAACCGGTTGCATTTAAACTGACGAATTAAACCCGGATGAATTTAAACCGGATGAATTAAAACCTGATGAATTTTACCGGATGAATTATGGATTGGGCCAATTCAAAATCCGGATGAATTTTAGCCAGTCGAATGAAAATCGGATGCATTTAAACAGGTGCGCGGGACGAGTGTTTGAAGCAATTGCGTTGCTCAAATTTCGTTTTGTTTTTTGGGTCAAGTGGCTGTTGAGATTTATCAAGCGTGGCACTAGGGCATCACGAGGGGATCCATCTGCCAGGGGTTATGGCACTGCAGGATTCGCGTCAAGATTATTGGTTGGCGGTGTTTCAGGCGATTCGTTTTTTTGCCCTTCCGCATTTCTCTTTCTCGGCATCTCTATAGTAGGAAGACGTCGACGACGAGCAGAGATGAGGAGGGAGCAGGAGGACGAGGAGGAGGAGGAACGACCAGAGGAACAGGTCAGGCGACGATAACGACCGATGACGACGAACATCGGCGACGACGATCGGGGATGACAAAGTATCGCAGACCACATTCCCACAACTTCTTGCCTCGTTGTCTCTTTTTTGCGTCTCCTCGGAAGCCCTCGTCGAAATCCGGGTCAGAACGCATCCTTCAGAACAGGAGAAAACACATAAACACAAAGGGTTTTATTGGTTTTACGCCGGAAGGGGGCGTCGTTGAGAGGGTGCCTGGCACGGATGCGGGGATCGGTGTGGCGTCGGTCTTTGGAGCTGGCGGTTTGCGTGGCAAGTGCGTCTAGCTGGTCGCATGTGTTCGGAACGCGTGACGGGTGGAAAGACCGCTCACCAGCAACTGGCAGTTCTCTGCCCGCGGGCCAGAATAAATCGCAGCGCGCTCGCAACGGGGTGTGAGAAAAGGCGTTGGGAAGAGAGCGCGAGTCTCATTCCCAAAAAGTCCATCCGATAGGCAGCAAACCATTTTTTCTACTCATCTGCCACACGGCCAACCGAACGAACGAACAACTGTCTCGGCGCGCAGTGTTAGCTTCGCTTGCGCACATCCTGGCTTCCTTCCGTTGCTTCCTTCGCTTCTTTCTCGCCCTCCTCTTCTTTTTCCTCTTCCCCTGCTTTGCCTTGTCCCGCCCTCCCTTCCTTTCCAACTCGGAGCTGTCGCCGCGCGCGAAGAGCGCAACCCAAAGGGCGTTGCTGTAATTCTTTTGTGTGCCACGAAGTCTCGCGTAATTCCTTTGTGTACGGTCTGGTTAAACTGCCAGCGCGGGGGGCACACAAAGGAATTTCCGTTGTGTACGATCGTTTTCGCCGCCCCCACAAGAGCACGCGCGATTCCTTTGTGTAGAGCTTGCTTTCCCGCCTCGAGGAGCGCACCCGGCCTGGCGCTACAATCACAAGGCCGCGGCGCCTGGCAGTGCGATGCAGTTGCGCCGGATACCACGCACAAAACGATGCTGCGTGGATTTCAGCTCTTTTGCCGAAATCGCGCTGGCAGCTGGCCAGTCGCCAGCCACGTCGCCGACCATGCATGCCCGCGCGCGCTACTGCGTTCTGCTGCCGCGACGCGTGCTGCTGCCAACGGATGAACAAACTGACGTTGCACGGTGGTTTGGCTGTGCCAAACCACCATGGAATGTGAGTTGGTAACGGATTTTGGGATCTTGTCGCCGCCGACAGCCTTGCCACGCCATACATGTCAACTGCATCTTAGAGCGCGGCCGTGCATCAACCCTGGTTCGGATCGCTGGGGATCCAGTCGCATGTGTGCACATGCGTTGCACCGTTGGTGGTGCCAAAACCCTTTGTGTGCAATTCTTTTGTGTGTTTTTTTCCGGCTCCTAATCCTGGGAGTGGTTCGGGGAAGAGGGAGTAGCGGTATCGGTACAGTTTCCGTCTCCCCAGAGTACGACGACGACGATCGTAGAGGACGGGGGCCGCCGCCGCCGTCGCCCCCTTCTTCGCTGCTGTCGCCGTTGTCGTTTCACTTCGGTCTCGTGATGTCGATCGGTAGATCGACAGTGAGAACGATCGTGAGATCAATCGTGAAACCGATGATGACCTAGCTAAGGACACCGATGGTGATATCCATAGTGATATAGATGATTGATCCAAACATGGATTTTGCGATCGCTTGTTGGCTGGACGTTCATAGCGATATTCCGGTCGCTACTGAAACCGATTGAGTCATGGTTTGTCTGATCGATTGTGGGACCGATCGTGGTAGCGATCGTGGCATCGATCGTGAGATTGATTGTTACGTTGGCTGTGAGAAGGACCACAACGACGAGGAGGGAGGAGGGAGGAGGACGAGGACGAGGAGGAGGAGGAGGAGGAGGAACGATCCGACGAACAGGTGAGGCGATGACGACGACGACGGACGACGACGAAGACAAGCGACGACGATCGGGGAGGAAGAAGTATCGCAGACTACTCTCCCAACACCCATGCCTCGTTTTCTCTTTTTTGTGCCTCCTGGGAGGCCCTCGTCGCCACCGCTGGATTCTCCTGAAATTCTGGTTGGAACGCATCTTGGGAGTGGTCCGGTGAAGAGTGACTGGTGGTATCGGTACTTGTTCGTTCCCACCACGATCGACGAGGAGGCGGGCCGCCGCCGCTGTCGCCTCCATCGTCGCTGCCGTTGCCGTGGTCGTTTCACTTGATGTCGATCGGGAGATCGACAGTGAGAAGTATTGTAAGATCGATCCTGGAATCGATAATGAGATCGATGGGGAGACCGATGGTGAGATCCATAGTGAGATGATTGATCGAAACATGGATTGTGAGATCGCTTGTGGGCTCGGCGTTAGATCTATATTCAGATCGCTACTGACACCGATGGCGAGATGTATTGTCTGATCCATGGTGGGACCGATTGTGATATCGATTGTGGCATCGATGGTGACATCGATTGTTATATTGATTGCCCGGCCGCTCGTGATATAGATAGTGGCATCCATTGTGTGATCCATGTTGGCATCGATAGTGAAGTCGATCGTGACATCGGTCGGGAGATCCATGGTGGCACTGGTTTTCTCGTCCACTGTGAGATCGATACTGACAGAGGTACTGAAATCGATGGTGGTATCGCTGGTGCCATCGACACTGAGAAGCATTCTTCTATCGAGTTGAGAAGTTTGCTGCGACCGATTGCGATATAGATAGTGAGCTCGATTGTGAGATCCATCCTGGGATCCATAGTGGGACCGATCGAGTATCTTCGATAGAGATGCAAGGGGACATCGCTAGTCAGGGACATCGCTAGTCGAGTCGAGTTCTGCTCGTCACACAGGGGACTTGTAGGCACGGGAAAGGATCGAAGGTCTAGACTTGAAGGGGTTTTCTGTTTATTCTAGCGTCCAGAATCTTCTCAGGGGTCCAGGGATGTATCATTTTGTGCGGGTGTGGCTTTATATCACATTTGAACAGATGTTTTTCGGGGCTATCCAATTCAGACACTTCAGACGCGTTTTTCCATATGTGTTGGCCCCCTCGCGAGCAGCTTTCGGGCCCCAGGGGCGTCAAACATTGATCTGGGATGAAAGAAAAACCATCCA